CTGTAGTTCGTTTATAGCACAACGTTAGCATTTTGCTTCTGGCGATTAGATTTATGATTCGAAAATGATAAGTAGGGTAGACATGGGGACATCATCAGGCTGAACAAAACGTGCATTTATCAAACAGGTTCGTTTTCCACAGACCTTATTTCCAGCTATTTTCTCAAATCCTATGGAGAAATCCCAGTGCTGTTTTGTCGAGGGAACCCATGGGCCGTTTACTTCCTGGTAAATACGTCATCCATGCACCACTCTATTGTCTTCAGGAAGAAAGAGTCAGTAGTTGTATTCTCCATTGAGAAACGGCATTCAACTTCTGTTAAATCTGTCAAAAGTAATTTTCACAGCTAAAATATAAAATACATCCATTGGAATGTTTTAAATCACTTCTACAATACATTTCCCAATAGGCTCCAAATAACCCTATATCCTATAGTAGTCCTATAAAGCAGTTCCTATTATAGTCACATTTTTTATGTTCACATACATCTATTAGATAAAAGCTTCCCCTACAACTCGTACTAAAGCAAATTCAGGAATTCTACATATTGTGGGTTTTAAAATGAGAAAAAGGGATTGGACGGTAAATCTGCAGTATATCATGTATAACACAATGAATCAATAAATCATCCCTGGCTTTGCTCCATCGCTTTTCTTTACTTTTCTTTTGAGTTTTTATCATCAAGGACTGAAGATGTTGCCAAAATAATTTCTCAGAAAGCCTTTAAAGGAAGACCTGCACACAGGCGAGGCTCATCACAGCGTTCTTCACAGAGAGCTGGGGAACATGGCAGCAGGTCCGATACTGAACACCTGTTCTTTAGCGTAGCTCCCCCCCACGAGCCCTGATGAGGGTTATTGAGTGGCCTGAATGTGAGCCACCTGCCCTCACAATGAGAGACGCAGCCCCTCGCCAGCTCCCTCTGAACTCCATGAGTTGGTTTTCATCCCAAAGCCGCTCTTCAGGACTTCCTGTGGTTTAGTCGGTCGATCTGAAATGACACGCCCTGCAGGAAGCAGCCGGGGTTTGCTCCAAACATTTTGTCATGACACGGAAAAAGGAACATCAGACTTTACTACACATAGATACAGATGTACAGAATAACTATTACATTTAGAGTTGTCCTCAGGGTCTTCTTAATGAAAAACTAGGGGGGGTTTACTTCCTTATTTTCCCAAGTTTTAGTGTTTACATTTTTTGCAATTGGTCCAATTTCAGTGAGAGCGCTGCAATGTAATACTATCGGGCAATTCCCCATCGTTAATATCGGTCCACTAAAAGTTCTTGTTTTTCCCACTGACGCAAAAGTGTTTGACAACATTAGGAAAGGGACCCTACAGAGACACTTCTCAAACTCTCATTCATGTTCTGTTGTCTTCCGGTAACATTTCAGAATAAGACTTCTTCTCCTCGAGCGAAAACTGGTTAGGCACCATAACAAACATAAAGCACAACTTTGTATTTGTCTTTAGGGTGCTTTCGTTAAGTTGTCAGACTATCACAAGAACAACCTGAGCCTTTCAGCATCGAAAAACTCAGCCACAATAACTCAGGAAGTTAGGGTCCAGGTTTAAGGATGCAGAAGTTACACTTTTAAGTAGGGATGTCCCGATCACCTTTTTTTGCTCCCGATCCGATTCCGATCATTTGATTTTGATAATTTGCCGATACCGATTTTTCCCGATCCGATCTTTATGCAATGCATTAAGAGAAAAAAAGAAAAAAAGCATTCAAGTTGTCCCTTACGGTTATTTTTTTAATTTAAATTAGATATTCTATCCAACATGGATATAGCTTCTTNCT